TAGATAGATAGATAGATAGATAGATAGATAGATAGATAGATAGATAGATAATAATAGATAGATAGATAGATAGATTAGATAGATAGATAGATAGATAGATAGATAGATAGATAGATAAGTGATAGATAGATGGATAGATAGATAGATAGATAGATGATAGATAGAATAGATAGATAGATAGATAGATAGAAGATAATAGATAGATAGATATAGATAGATAGATAGATAGATAGATAGATAGATAGATAGATAGATAGATAGATAGATAAGATAGATAGATAGATAGATAGATAGATAGATAGATAGATAGATAGATATGATAGATAGATAGATAGATAGATAGATAGATAGATAGATAGATAGATAGATAGATAGAAAGATAGATAGATAGATAGATAGATAGATAGATAGATAGATAGATAGATAATAGATAGATTTGATAGATAGATAGAAAAGATAGATAGATAGATAGAAATAGATATAGATAGATAGATAAAGATAGATAGATAGATAGATAGATATATAGATGAGAGATAGATATAGATAGATAGATAGATAGATAGATAGATAAGATAAAATAGATAGATAGATAGGATAGATAGAAATAGATAGATAGATAGATAGATAAATAGAAGAAGATGCAAAATAGATAAGTAATAATAAAATAGAGATCGAAATAGAAAGATTGTAGTAAGATAGATAGATAGATAGATAGGGAGAGGAGATAGTGTCCTTCGATGATAAGAGAGACCTAAAGATAGATAGAAAGTGGAAATCTAGGGAGAATATATAGATAGAAAGATAGATAGATTATAGATAGATAGATAGATAGAAAAGAGATAGTTTTCCAAATTGAGATAGATGATATGGAAAATATTAAGATAAGATAGATGATCCGATAGATAGATAATGGATAGATTTTAGGGGTGATGTAGATAGATAGATATGATATTTGATTTCTGCCTCTGTAATTTGTTAGATAGATAATGGTCTTCCATACAAATAGATAGATAACATGTGATAGATAATAGATAGATAATGCATACCTTTTAGATTGATGATAGATATATAGATAGATCAGGATAAAATGGATCAGAGGGTGCCATACAATTTAAGATAGGCCATGATGTAGATAATGGATAGATAGATAATTAGATAGATAGATAGATAGATAGATAGATAGATAGATAGATAGATAGATATCGATAGATTAGATAGATAGATGATAGATAGATAGATAGATTCTGTACATTTTGCAAATCTACTTTATATTTTATTATTGCAGATCTATGAACTGTATAATGGGGGCTCTGTAGCAGTTATCTATGAGATTCAGCTGGAACCACTGAGAGAAGTTCAAGAGCAGAATTATCATCACCCCGTGTTCCAGTGTTTAAATCCTAGAGGGGAGATATTACCAGGTGCAACTGCCTATGTGGAATGGATCTTCTCACCTCTGGAGGCCAAAACCTATTCGGTGAGCCTGCTCGTTTTTTGTCTTACTCTGCCCCCTGCTGTCCAAATCAGCTCCTCTAACTAAGCGCTGTACTTTATTCTTACATACAGGTAACTGTCCCCGTGCATATCTTAGGAGGAGACTCTGCTCTTATTACCTTTGAAGGGATTGGCTATGAACGGAGTGTACTGGGAGACACGGCTGTGTTTGGGGATATTTCTCATATAGCTGCCACCCCAGGCTTTTACTACCCAGACAGGTGAGAATATTAAGTGTGTATTGAAAGGAATGTACAAAATATTTATTTATTATGCTTAAATACTTCCTGCTCTCTAGCTCCCTTGTCTCCTCCTCCCATGCTCGTCTCCAGGACTTCTCCAGAGCTTCCCCCATCCTCTGGAACTCTCTACCCCAATTTATCAGACTATCGCCTACTCTGCTCACTTTTAGGCGATCTCTGAAAACCTATCTCTTCAGGGAAGCCTATCCTGCCCTCAGCTAATAATGGAATCTTCTACTCTTCCTACCAGTCCATCCCCCACAGTTACTACCTCTTGTACCTCTAACCCCTCCCTCCTAGATTGTAAGCTCCAAGGATCAGGGCCCTCAAATCCCTCTTGTATTGAACTGTATTGTTGCTGTTTTGTCTCCCATTATATTGTAAAGCGCTGAGCAAACTGTTGGCGCTATATAAATCCTGTATAATAATAATAATAAATACGTCAGGGAATCTGATCATCTTAAGGCTGCACAGAAATAGGACCAAAGATGTCTGAAAGATATACGCTATAAGGCCAAACGTTTGCAGACACCTGACCATCACACCTATGTGCTGGGCATCCCATTCCAAAACTATGAGCATAGAGTTGCTCCCTCCTCTCTCCCTTCTTTGGAGCTACAGTATATCAGCCTCCATTCTTCAGAAAAGGCTTTCTATACCATTTTGGAGAGTGTGTGTGTGTGTGAGAATTTGTATCCTTTCAACCAAGAGAAACATTTGTGAGGACAGGTATTGACGTTGGAGAAGAGAAGACCTGGCATGCAACCAGCATTCTAATTCCCTACAAAATTGTTTTGTAAGGTTGAGGTCAGGACTCTGTGTAGACCAGTGTTTCTCAACCTTTTTTCAGTCAAGGCACCCTTTAAAATTATGGACAGTCCTGAGGCACCCTTTAAAAATATGGACAGAAAGCAAATACACTTTTGCACCCTGGTACTGATTAGTATTCCAGTGTTTCTCTTCTCCATCACTGAGCTAATGTGACCCCAGCACTGATGGAGAGGGGCGGGGGAGGGTCAAACTAGGCTGCTGTGCAGGCAGCTGACATCCTCCTTATCAACTGATGATGTCATTGGTCGTCAGGATGCAGGCAGCTAGGAAGGTCGTAATGGTGCACAATGAGAACCTGTGGCTTTGTGTAACTAAATGGCCGGCTTTCTCCACCCGCTGCTTTGTATACAAGTTTTTGCCAATTTTTGGACATTTTGCCAAGACACCCCTGAATAAACCTCAAGGCACCCCAGGGTGCCTGGGCACCCTGGTTGAGAAAGGCTGGTGTAGACCACTGGAGTTCATCCCCACCAATCTTCTCAAACCGTGTCTTTATGGAGCTGCTATGTGCACAGGGGCAGCTTAATGCTGGTACAGAAAAGGGCCTTCTCCAAACTGTTGCCATAAGGTTGGAAGCACACAATTGTCTTAAATAGGTAGAAAACCACCACAATATACAAAAAAAAAAAAACCTGAGCCTTCTACAGGTATACGTCATAATGTACTAGTATGCACCGCATACTAGTACATTATGACAATCTTGAATAAAGGGGAGAGAACATTGTTCCTGGATAACTTGCCAGCCAGTTTGCCAACAACCAAATTAACCTGTCTAACAGTATGCGTTTATAACAGGGGTTTAGTTAGCACACATTTGCAAATACATACGTAACCCTTAGAGCCACGTCACAGCACCCTGATATTCTGTGGTCCTAACTCTACAATTTCTGAGAGCCCCCATAGTAGAGGGCACATGTATTTAATGGATAGACAATCTTACCTGCCCATGGAGCCCTCCAGCGCAGTGCTGTATCTTGGTCCCCAGTGCTTCCATCTTCACCTGGTTTTCCTTCCAGGTTTGCAGGCTCTGGCTGTTTGATTGGCCGGGGAACACGATGACGTCATACAAGAGCCACAGCTTGGCGATTTGCATTTAACAGTATACTGTATGCCCTGAATGCAGAGTATCATTGCACATGCACAGGTGACATCATCGGCTATTGTTGATGTGAATATTTCCTAAACGGTACATGTTTAGGAGATATTAATTGTATCTACAGGCAGGGACGGACTGACAGCTCATGGGGCCCCCGGGCAATAAGGGATCATGGGGCCCCTGTGTCCTCGCCCAAACTGAAAAAAGCCTATGAAAAAGGTACCAGGGGCATCTCATGGGCCCCCCTACTGACCCCGGGCCCTTGGGCAGTGCCCGAGTTTCCAAATGGTCAGTCCACCCCTGTCTACAGGTAAGCCTGAGCGTAAGCTTACCTGTAGGTACAACTTAAAAAATAGACTTTACTACCACTTTACATGTCTTTGTATGGTATAGTATTAGCAGTACCCTTCACTGGAAACACCTGAACTCAATCATTTGGAGATATGGCCATATAGGTAGGTGTAATGATCAGGTATCCAGAAACGTTTGGCCTATTCGGGTACAAAATTGTAAGATGTTTAACCCTCCTTCTCCAGCACCTTCTAAAAACTGAAATATCCATTTTGGGGTAGAATGATTAAAGTGGTCATTAACACGTAAATTTAAAAACAAAATGCAAACAGCAGTAATGGTGTTCAGTTGTTTTACTAAGCAACTCTACAAGGCTTTGCCAACTACACCACCACTGTGGTTAGAAACTGGAAACAGATAGTGGTCACATGACTGCTAATCATTCTTCTGAAAGCAGGTATTTTCACCCAGTTGTAGGATAAAACTTTTGGGAGGGTCTGTACAGGGTGGTTATCTATTACCAAGCAACTTTACAAGGCTCCGCCTCCCACTGATCCCACACTCAAAGCTGATCCCGGCTTTGTTCAGCTGTCCGGAGGCGTCAACTGGTCACTCGATTGGACGGGAGATCCTGGGGGAGCATCTGCTCTTGCTGCGTGTAAAAGCTAACGAGCAGCTAGTTAGCTGCTCTGATTGCTTTTACAATAGAGCCGTTCACCGGCTTTAAAAAAACAGTACAAGTATGTCGCTGGTCCGCAAGTGGCTATTGAGAGCATGGCTGCTTTAAAGGGTCTAATGCCCAATATTGATGTCTTCTCTGATTTCATGTTTATATTCAGCTTCAGCTGCACTTTATATTGATTTGTATAGGCAACCCAGGTACATCCCTTCCTTTTTATCACCTTATCTTTAATCAGCCTCACTGTTACTGGAATCTCCTACAGGTCCCTCGCCTGACTCAGCAGAAATTGACATTTGGGGATATTCCCGTCTTCTCTAAGTCCAGCCGATTGCTCTTTCTGAATAACACCTCTGAAAATGAGAGCTTGCTCTTCACATGGTATGCTGGTTCCCCAAATGCCAGTGAGGTAAGCATATACATTAGTATTTTTTAATAAATGATATCTCAATTCTGATGCCAATTTAGGAGTTGAATTAAATTGGTTACAAAGTTTTTTTTTAAACAGCAAACACATCATACTTACCTGCTCTGTGTAATGGTTTTGCACAGAGCAGCCCAGATCCTCTTCTTCCCTGTTCCTCCGCCAGCGCTTCTAGCCCTTTCCCCATTTTGAGTGCTCCCAGAGCATACTGCTTACTTTGGGGGCACTCGTGCATGCTTGCTCCTGAGCCACCTCTGTGTGTCTATGGGACACAGAGTGCTGCTCAGCCCCGCCCCCCACTCCCTCCTCACTAGCTGTTATTGACAGCATCGAGAGTCAATGGCTCCTGCTGCTGTGTCTCAGCCAATGAGGAGAAGAATCAGGATTGGACTCAGATAAGTATCGGAGGGGGCTGTGGGGGGCAGCTGCACAATGAAGGTTTTCACCTTCATGCATAGAATGTCTAACAGAAGACCAATTCTTATTTTTCCTGCACTACCGAACACAGCTCAGTTGATGAGGAATCTTTTTTGAAGTCTGCTTGAAAACCTGCATCCCCTTTGTGCTCAGTGGTTCCTCCACCGGACCTCCATGTCACTACTGTGTCCTGCAGTGATGTGAAGATTGGCAGGAGGAACCACCGGGTGTTGTGGAAGATACTGTCTTGGTTTTCCAACAGACTTGATGAGAATGGAGCCGCATTCTGTGCTGTGGGCAGCAGGAGCGGTTAGTATTAACACTCTTTACTTCATCCTGCAGATCGATGACAGGGTCACGTTAAAAAAAAAATGGGAGATTAAAAATGGATAAATGTGAAAGCTGTACTCAGGGTTCCTCCAGGGGTTATGTAAGAAGAGAGCAAAGACAGATCTCCTACCTACACTGACCACCAATGTAAGGGGTCACTACCAATGTGGGGGAGGGGGGTGCACTTTGGCCTTGGGTGCTAAAGGATCTTGTCCTGGCACTGTACATGGGACACATTAGGGGATATTTACTAAAACTGGAGCACTCAGAATCTGGTGCAGCTGTTCTTGGCAGCCAATCAGCTTCTCACTTCAGCTTGTTCAAATAAGCTTTGACAATAAAACCTGGAAGCTGATTGGCTTCTATGCACAGCTGCACCAGATTTTTCACACTCCAGTTTTAGTAAATAACTCCCATTGCGACTTATCAACCACCTTTGCTTGCAGGTTCTTCAGGTCTCGCCTCTTTCGGGTACTGTGAAGCCGGGTGAGAGTGTAAGTGTGGTGGTCACCCTTCAGTCTGCAGACCAGGCATCATTCTACGCTCTGGAGCTGGTGTGTGAGGTGAGGGGTGAAGGAGATATACGTATTCACTAACAAGGTGCAATGACAATTATCATACCAGTGGAAACAAGAACAACACCTCTTGCGCTCTATGACCCAGAGCAAGGGTGGATAGATGGAAACAGAACTTGTAGAAATTCGTCCAAAGGTTTTGCGGCTCTAAAAAAGGCTGGGGAAGCCTGACCTGTGAAGTGAAACAAAAAAGCGCACCAACCTTGCGCATTACCTCAGTAAAATGTGATTTTATTGAATTCAAAAATATACTCACAGAGAAGTATAAAAAGCATACAAGATCCTCACTGGAACTCTAGGAGTGTGAAACCAGTGCGAGTCTCATCACGAGGGCAGACTCTCAAAGTAAGGTTGACGCGTTTCAAAGAGAGTCCCTTCTTCGTCAGAGCTGTTGGTTTCACACTCCTAGAGTTCCGGTGAGGATCTTATACGCTTGTTATACTTCTCTGTTTGAGAGTATATTTTTTAATTCAATAAAATCCCATTTTACTGGGGTAATACGCAAGGTTGGTGCGCTTTCTTTTTGTTTCACTTCACAGCAATGACAATTAAGCCAAAGCAAACACTCAGAGTCAGCCTACTGCATCAAGATCACAAAAAGATGAATTCTGATTGGTTGCTTAGAGTCACTGCAGCTTGTAAGCCCGTGAGTGTCATAATGTTATTTTCATGTACCATGTTATTAAAAAGCTTTACCCCATACCAGATCTTTATGGAGAAGGGCCTCGCTGAGTATGAACGGGCCATCAGAGACTGGGAGGAAGAAGAGGAGCGGCAGACAGTAGAATTCACAATTCATGAACCTGAGAAGAGATTTCAGATGGTATGTTACTCACTATTAGAGATGAACACAAATATGTTGGATTTCACAGGAACGTGGAATGAAGGTGATTTTTGGTGTTTTAAAAGGGGCAATGGGCTTCAAATGGTCCCTGAGGGTTATGAAGATCTTGCCTAACCTGGACCTAGTGTACCGTATAATAATGACTCTCCTGGAAAATAACTCCCCATTTATTATTATATATATTATAATAACTCCCCAGTCATTTTTATATATGTACTAATAACTGTCTCTATGTAATAATAGCTCCCAAGCAGAAAAAGGCGTAAGTTATCTAAAATAAATTCCATTTTTGAATTAAATGTTTATTATTAAACAAATGAGACTAACGATGGTTTTTGAAAGTTTTTACATTGTAGATTTTTATTAAAGTAAACAAAAATTACATGTAGAATTGGGAAATATCAACATACATGTAATGTACAAAGTTATGTACATTTAAAATATCCTAGAATTCATAATGTGAATATGCACGTCTCCCAACGCTTTGTTTGATTTCTTCCATGGTTTTAATTTTTTACTTTATTTCTCTTCCGGAGAATATCATGTCAGAATTTGTACAATACAACGTCACTCTTCCACATATAATGCAACCTCACTTCCTGCATGCTGTTGCGTCGATAAAGAACTTGGGCTAGTCAATCACGTTCTCTGTTTATTCTTTGCATTTATAACTTGGAATTTGGCGTTTTAAAGAATTTGGCGCTTTAAAGAATTGATCCTCCAAATAATTAATTAATAATAACTTTCAATAATTAAAACCTGTTAACACTCTTACGTATATATTATCAGATTATGCATATCAATTTAAACTATTACTTTCAACTTTTATGTCATTTAGCTTCTTCAAAACTAGGGGAGTTATTATTACATAGAGGGAGTTATTATTACATATAAAAATGACTGGGGAGTTATTATTACATATAAAAATGAGTGGGGAGTTATTATTACATGTATAAAAATGACTGGGAGTTATTATTACATGTATAAAAATGAATGGGGAGTTATTATTATTTGGGAGTTAATATAACATACTACACTGGTCTTTTGCCAAGGCGTCTCATTAGCCTCATTATTTTTTTCAAAGCAAAAAACAGACTGGAAAAAAAAAAAAGAAACTGAATAAATACAGAGAACGCTAAATAAAAAACACTAACCTTAAAGCCCAACTCCAGACAACAAATGATGCATTGCAGTGGGTCTGCACCCGCACCGTAAAGGTTGATTGCATTTTTTTTCTATGGGAAAGGAGAAACTGTTTTACTTACCTGATCCTCTGCTATCCCAGCAGATGGCACTCCCCCGCCCTCCAGCGGCCATCAACATGTCCAATGCAGGACTACAGACCCTGCTTTGGTCTTGATGACATCAAGATCCTAGACCGCTGGAGTGTGAGGGAAAAGAGGATGTGGGGACCAGTCTAGAGGATGAGTAGATGATCAGGTAAGTACATTTTTTGGTGCCATAAAAGGGTTTACTTAATGGTTCTACCCATGAGTTTGAGTGGAACATTTTTTTTTTTGTTCCCCTAGACCTAAATGAGCAATTAACCCTTGTAGTGCAGGCCCAGCCCCACTGCAAGGGATCATTTTTTTAGTTACACAATAAATAAAAATCTCAATAGATAAAAAAAAAAGAGACTCACCCCTATTTATTGTGTGGCTCATCCCTACTTATGTGACAACATGCAACTGAACATATGCTGATAAATGCAGCTGTGATAGTAAAGAAGACCTATTACAAAACGGCTCTTATAATTATGTGTTAATGCAATCTTGGTGGGCTTCTTAATGCCCAACTTCAGTCTCTAGACCCCCTCCTTCTGGTGACCCCCCCTTCCTTGTGTATTTTATTCCAGATTGCTTCAGGCTGGTCATGTGACACAAAGCGCCTTCTTCTGCATTGGGCAGTCCTTGATGATGCTGAGAGCCTCATCATGTCAGTGTTTGCTCTCCTCATCAATACTCTGTGAGTGAAGGGCACTATGATGATACCCTCACAGAGGCTGGGCCCTGATGCCCTGCACTCCCCAGGTTGCATGACATTGCAGTATGAAGCCTACAGCACAGATAAGAGATTGCTAATGACAGATGAAAGGTGTAAAACTGCACTACATGATGTTTTAAATCTCAGCTTTATGCTAACAATAAAAACATCCTCCTGGAAGTTAAAAACAAAACAAAATTTAAGACTGCAATACACACATCAACGTCAGCACTGTCCACTGCAGTACCTCTTCTCCACCATAAGATGTCCTCAGTCTTCCAAAAAACTTCCAAAAAAAAAAAAACCCAGCATGTAGTATGCAGTGGTCTCCACACTGTGGCTTGGGGTCCGGATGTGGCCCTCTGCCTTTATCTGGCCCTTAGGGCTCTTTTCCTCCCACTGATACAAGATGCTGTTATGCCCACTGACACCAACAACAGGGCATAAATCCTTTTACCTATTTCAACAATGGGACACCATTCCTGCCAGTGACACCAATAATTGGGCACTATTCCTGCCAGTAACACCAATAATGGGGCACTATTCCTGCTAGTGACACCAATAATGGGGCACTGTTCCTGCCAGTGACACTAATAATGGGGCACTATTCTTGCCAGTGACACCAATAATGGGGCACTATTCCTGCCAGTGACACCAATAATGGGGCACTATTCCTCCCAGTGACACCAATAATGGGGCACCGTTCCTGCCAGTGACACCAATAATGGGGCACTATTCCTGCCAGTGACACCAATAATGGGGCACTATTCCTGTCAGTGACACCAATAATGGTGCATTATTCCTTTCTATAATGCCAAAGATGAGATGCTCTTTACTCCCACTGGTAGCTTGAAAATTTCTACTTCTCCTGGACACAGTCCAGCCCACCTAAAGTCTTGAGGTCAATCAACTGACCCTTGTTTAGAAAGTCTGGAAGCCCCTGGTCTTATGTAGCTACAGCTGTAAACAAACATAAATATATTTCTGCTCCAGGCGGTCTTACAGACCATCCACTGGCTGGAGGTACATTGTAGTTGTGCAGATTGTGATGTCACCTCCTCACCTTTCCAGCTTGTCCAATCAGAGAACATTGCCATGCCAAGCAGGTGACCTCCTGTGTTCAGTAAGCAGCAGAGTAGCCATTGAGCACAGGGCCCAAAGCTAGTGGAGATGTCTAGAGTAGCCGTACCTACTACAGTGATTTCCAGCTTACAGGGGGATTGGCCAGGTATGGTTTATGCATAATTACACTAGGTCAAGCTGGCCCAATGTAATTGTAAAAATATCCATTTCTGGAAATCATCATAAAAGTGGAACTACACTCAAAATTACAAAACTTACAAGCAGGCAGGCTATTTCTCTAAATTTCACCCAAACCGTACTCTCCGCTCCTCGCAAGACCTCCTACTCTCTAGCTTCCTTGTCTCCTCCTCCCATGCTCATCTCCAGGACTTCTTCAGAGCTTCCCCCATCCTCTGGAACTCTCTACCCCAATTTATCAGACTATCGCCTACTCTGCTCACTTTTAGGCGATCTCTGAAAACCGATCTCTTCAGGGAAGCCTATCCCGCCCTCAGCTAATACTGGAATCTTCTACTCTTCCAACCAGTCCATCCCCCACAGTTATTACCTTTTGTACCACTAGCCCCTCCCTCCTAGATTGTAAGCTCCCAGGATCAGGGCCCTCCTAACCCTCTTGTATTGAACTGTATTGTTGCTGTATTGTCTCCCATTATATTGTAAAGTGCTGAGCAATCTGTTGGCGCTATATAAATCCTGTATAATAATAATAATAATAATATATATTGCAAAAGTAATGTCTCTTCTGCAATAAAATAAACCCACCTTACTGGCACCAGGAAGAAGGTGGGTAAAGGATGCCAGTGCTGGACAGGGACCCCTCACAGACATCATAGTGTTGGAGAGGAGGTAAGTATTGTGACTTTAGTTCCAATTTAAACTGATTCTAAAGCATAAACCTGATTTTTCTTAATGCATTCCCTGCAGTAAAGTAGAGAATGTTTAGGTAGTAGTATAGCCCCCTCACCACCCCCCACCACCCCCCCATAGTTACCTCACTCAGTCCAGCGATGTGCCTGTCTGTAGTGGCTCTCTCCCTCCTCCCTACACTCAGAGGCTTGGCTCAGTCGAATCCTGTGATGTGAGGGGGCGTGGCCAAGCTGTCACTGTCTATGGACACAGGCAGCACGGCTTGGGATCGAGCGCGCATAAGTGCCCCCATACAGTAGCAAGCAGTTTGCTATGAGGGTACTTGCAGAAGAGGAGCCAAGAGTGCCAGCAGGGGACCTGAGAAGAGGAGGTTTGGGGAAGCTCTGTGCAATCACATTGCACAGAGCAGGTAAGTATATCATGTTTGTCATTTTTTTAAAAAATAGACTTTATAACCACTTCAAGTGCCTAATGACAACAATATGTATGCAGTTGTTTTTAAAAACCTTTTCTTAAGATTCTGTACTTCTCCCTGCATGGATTCACTTCCGATAGATGTAAGTGAATGTGATGGATTTGTGTGGTTGAATAAAATCTTTCAATATGAAAAACCTTTTCTCAATAGTTATAGTTGTGTTATGACCAGGGGCGAACTGACAACTCATGGGGCCCCCGGGCAATAGGGGATCATGGGGCCCCTGTGTCCTTGCCCAAACTCAAAAAAGCCTATGAAAAAGGTACCAGGGGCATCTCATGGGGCCCCCTACTGACCCCGGGCCCTCGGGCAGTGCCCAAGTTTCCAAATGGTCAGTCCGCCCCTGGTTATGACCATTGAATACATATTAACATTTTCTTGTGTTCCTAGAGCTGCCTGAAGTCTGGTGGCCCTGGAAGAAGTCAAAATAAAAACCAGCTGACTGAGATCAGGAAATACAAGGTGAGCCAGTGAATGATCTGCACAGGTAATGTAACATGGCAGACATATAACTACATTATGGCTTATTATTCATGGGCTCGTTGAAAAATAGTACTTCACAAGTGCTGGTCACATGACCAAAAACCGTCAGCATTCAGTTACTTGATCTCCATTAGTAGTCAATCGGAGTTTACATCAGCATGTCTCTTCGCTCTTTGGCAGAGATGATGTAACCATATAGCTAGGACAGATGACCTTCTTTCTGAAAATGCTGTTATAACCTGGCTGTCTCTGGCTTCAACATTTAATCACTGACTGTGAACAAATATGGAGCAGGTGAAGTAAGAGCTCCTTAGATTGCAAACTTCAGGAATTGTAATACAAATATTTCTTTCATGATAGGTGTCTGAAAAGGTGACTACTGATTTCCCTTTTAGCTGAACTCTAAAAACCTACAAAAGACACAGCTTAAAGTGTTACTAAACCCCGGGCCCTGCATTCACTATATCCGGTCTCCCCGGACCCTGCATTCACTATATCTGGTCTCCCTGGACCCTGCATTCACTATATCTGGTCTCCCCGGACCGTGCATTCACTATATCCGGTCTCCCAGGACCCTGGATTCACTATATCTGCTCTCCCCGGACCCTGCATTCACTATATCTGGTCTCCCCGGACCCTGCATTCACTATATCTGGTCTCCCCGGACCCTGCATTCACTATATCTGGTCTCTCCGGACCCTGCATTCACTATATCTGGTCTCCCCGGGCCCTGCATTCACTATATCTGGTCTCCCCGGGCCCTGCATTCACTATATCTGGTCTCCCCGGACTCTGCGTTCACTCTATCTGGTCTCCTTGGACCCTGCATTCACTATATCTGGTCTCCCCGGACCCTGCATTCACTATATCTTGGTCTCCCCGGACCCTTCATTCATTATATCTGCTCTCCCCCGGACCCTGCATTCACTATATCTGCTCTCCCCGGACCCTGCATTCACTATATCTGGTCTCCCCGGACCCTGCATTCATTATATCTGGTCTCCCCGGACCCTGCATTCACTATATCCGGTCTCCCCGAACCCTGCATTCACTATATCTGCTCTCCCCGGACCCTGCATTCATTATATCTGGTCTCCCCAGACCCTTCATTCCCTATATCTGGTCTCCCCAGACCCTTCATTCCCTATATCTGGTCTCCCCAGACCCTGCATTCACTATATCTGGTCTCCCCAGACCCTGCATTCACTATATCTGCTCTCCCCGGACCCTGCATTCACTATATCTGGTCTCCCGGACCCTGGATTCACTATATCCGCTCTCCCCAAACCCTGCATTCACTATATCCGCTCTCCCCAAACCCTGCATTCCCTATATCCGGTCTCCCCAGACCCCACATTCACTATATCTGGTCTCCCCGGACCCCGCATTCACTATATCTGCTCTCCCCGGATCCTGCATTCACTATATCTGGTCTCCCCGGTCCCCGCATTCCCTATATCCGGTCTCCCCAGACCCCACATTCACTATATCTGGTCTCCCCGGACCCTGCATTTACTATATCCGGTCTCCCCGGACCCTGCATTCACTATATCCGGTCTCCCCGGACTCTGCATTCACTATATCCGCTCTCCCCGGACCCTGCATTCACTATATCCGGTCTCCCACAGTACACACAACATGGAAATGCAATTATTTGAGTCAATATAAGTTGCTAAATACATTTTCTCATCAGCAGTATATAGCAGTCTTGTGACTTCTATCAGTGTTCGGCAGAGCACTGGTTAAAGCTTGTAGGAGGAGTTTTCTTTCTGCTCTGGAGGATGCAAAACTCCTGACCTCTGTCTATACAGTACCGATTGGCCCAGTGCTGATCACATGCACTCTCTCAAGAAAATAAAAAACCTTTCTAGCGATACACACTAAACTGAGCATCTGCAGAATGGCTTATCAGGAGATAAGACGGACATTTGAACAAGAGGAGGAGCAGAAAAGTTGGGATCAAACGGCCTTTTTACACAACGCAGAGGATTAACCCCTTAGGCTCCGCAGTGAGTATAACAAGCATGCTTTACTGCATATACAGACTGATTGTACTGTTGTGGGTTTAGGAACACTTTCAGTGCAGCCAAAATATAAAACACAAAAATCAACACAAGGCACATAACCTGTATTCAGTAGTGTACATTTAGCAGCATGTGTCCCTTGTGCTGATGCCTTTTCTGTTAGGTGAAACCCTCCAACCAGCAACTCCAACCTTAAAAGCCACATGAATGGAGGAAAGGTGGATGATTGATAGAAGCTGGGCGGAAATGGTGAACATATGAGAGCCTGCAACAGCCCCTTAGTTCTGGGAGCATGGGTGGAAGAGGATTTCACTGAAGAGGCATCAGCACGAGGAACACATGCTGCTGAATGTAAGTTATGCCCCTTGTGCTGATTTTTGGGTTTAATATTTTGGCTGCACTTAAACCTCCTTCGCGGTGTTCCTGAGTGTAGCTCGGGGTAAAATTTCTATACCAAAAGCGGTAACCCCGAGCTACACTCAGGCTTACCATGCGGCGTTGCTCTGGGGGTCCCTGCAATACTTACCTTGTCCTTCGCTCCCGCGATGTGTCCCCTGCAGCGTCCCCGGCCATCTCCTCTGGCCGATGCCGGCATCCGGCTTCCGTGTTCCGGTCCCTGTGACGTCGGGAAGCGGCGGGAAATTTGAATTTTTTAAAAAATGTCATTTTTGCTGTCATTGCTATTTCAATGCATTTCACATACATTTTGTCCCGAGTGCTTTGTCCGGCGCCCTGCCTGCATTTTGACTGTTCTTTCTGCCTGGAAACTGAGAAAAGTCCATGGCGTCCAAAAAGCGTCCCTTTATGACAAAAGCGGTTTTAGACCGGCTAGAGAACAGCGATAGTAAATCAGAACCACTTGCAGAATTGAGTGATAATGATTCGTGGGGGAAATTCGTCATCAGACACTGAAAACGATTTTGCAACTTTGCTCAGCGATGTGCGAATTTGCCTCTGTATTTCAAATTTCAGTGTTTTTGTTTTGATTATATTATTGAATTCAATTTATTATTATTATATTATTATTTTTTATGATTATTTATTAAATTATAATTTATGATTTCGTGTTTTCAAATTTTATCATACCTGGAATGTTTACTAGACTCTTGTTCGGACAGATTTCAGTGAGTTATTCCTAAAAATTACAGCCTACAATAAAAACTACATATTTCCATGCAAAAAAAATGGTACCGCTTTCAGCACAAAAAATCGGAAAGAATCAGATCGCCAGGGAGGTTAAGCTTTAATTTGTGTCTTTTTTGTAGGTTTCTAAAGTGCAGTCAAAATAGTAAACCTAAAAATCAGCACAAGGGACATTCAGCTATTCCTCCTACCAGTCCATCCCCTACAGTTATTACCTTTTGTATCACCAGCCCCTCCCTCTTAGATTGTAAGCTCCAGGATCAGGTCCCTCCTATTCCTCTTGTATTGAACTGTATTGTTGCTGTATTGTCTCCCGTTATATTGTAAAGTGCTGAGCAAACTGTTGGCGCCATAAATCCTGTATAATAATAATAATATAAATCCTGTATAATAATAATAATATAAATCCTGTATAATAATAATAATAATAATAATAATAATAATATAAATCCTGTATAATAATAATAATTGTCCTGGCCATGCATGCGTATTAGTACCCCATTGACCTCTGTAGGGCTGTGTCCTAAGGCTAGAGATGATCCCATAGATGTCTATGAGGCTGTAATGCACAGAGGTGACCAGGACGGTGAAGACTTGCACTGCTGAATGTAAACAAATTTCATATCCATGGCCAATCAGATAAAGGAATTATGCGTTTGTGGAGGGAGAGGGTGGGTTAGTTTAGGGAAAAGGGGGGGAAAGGGATAATGCACTTTGTTTAACCACTTGCCTACCAGGCACTTATACCCCCTTATTTACCAGGCCAATTTTCAGCTTTCAGCGCTGCCGCACTTTGATTGACAATTGCGCGGTCATGCAACATTGTACCCATATGAAATTTTGATCATTTTTTTCTCACAAATAGAGCTTTCTTTTGGTGGTATTTAATCGCCACTGGGCGCTTTACTTTTTGTGCTATAAATAAAAAAATTGCAAAAAATTTGAAAAAAAAAAAAAAAAGTTTCTTTGTTTCTATTATAAAATTTTTCAAACAGGTATTTTTTCTCCTTCACTGATGTGCGTTGATGAGGCAGCACTGATGGGCACTGATAGGCGGCACTGATGGGCACTGATAGGCAGCACTAAAGGGCACTGATAGGCAGTACTAATGAGGTGGCACGGATAGGCGGCACTGATAGACAGCACTAATGAGGTGTCACGGATAGGCGGCACTAATATGCAGCACTGATAGGCGGCACTGATAGGTGACACTGATGATGGGTACTGATAGACGGCACTGACTGGCATCACTGCTGGGCACTGACTGGCGGCACTGACTGGCACAACCCCTGGGCACTGACTGGTGGCACTGCTGGGCTGCACTGGTGGGTGGCACAGGTGGGCAGCACTGGTGGGTGGGCACAGGTGGGTGGCACTGGTGGGCACAGGTGGGTGGGCACAGGTGGGTGGCACTGCTGGGCACAGGTAGGTGGCACTTCTGGGCACAGGTGTGTGACACTGCAAAGTGGCACAGGTGGGTGCACTGCTGGGCACAGGTGGGCGGAGCTAGTGGGCGCACTGCTGGGCACAGGTGGGCGGAACTTGGGGGTGGCACTGCTGGGCACCGATCATCAGGGCACTGATCATCAGCGATCACGGAGATCACCGGGTGCGCGCCCCCTGGGGCGCGCAGGAGAGCGCGTTCTGGGAGGACGTCATTCGGCTATCTGCGGTCGGCCACTAGTTAAAGTGCTCTTCACCCTGAAATAGGATCAAAGATTGTTTACTGAATGATGTAACAATTGTATTCTGCCATGCAGACTCTACCACCGATCAAGAATGGTGGCTATGCCCGACCACCAGTCAGCCGAGACAGGGAGAGCCGCCGGGCACTAAAAGAAAGTCAAAAATTGCCGGTTCGACCTGAGCCACCTCTGCCCATCCAGCTTCACCTGTCCGTGACAGGCAGATCCCACCACACACCAGATTTTCTGAACCAATACCAGAACGACTTCCAACGTCACTTCCAGCAGCGGTAAGTAAATCCCTACCATCTTACTAGCGAAACTTTTTACATAACTGTTATTTTTGTTGTTACTTTTTAGGGCGAGGCAGCTTATTTTCTGTCACATGAGATTTGCATCAACATTTTTTTTTACATAAGGCTCCGTTCACACTAGTGCGACTTGTCATGCAAATTTGGAAATATAAAGTAGCATTACAAGTCACAGCCCATTGATTTCAATGGACCCCATTCCAATCTATGTGACTTAACCCTTGGCACCGGCACCTCCTGGCCCTTTAACCCTTTGAGGACCTTAAGATTTTGGAACGCCAAAAGAATCAATTTTTTTCGTTTTTAAACTTCGTACACTTCAGTTGCTGTAACTAAGCCATTTCATGAAATAATTGGCAAAAAGCTAGATCCATTTGTTGTTTGTTGATAAGAACTAATATTTTGACTCAAACCAAAAAAAAAAAAAAGAGTTTTAAGTTCTTAACCACTTCCTGTCCGGACACTTTTACCCCCTTCCTGTCCAGGGCAATTTTTAGCTTTCAGTGCTATCACACTTTGAATGACAATTGCGCGGTCATGCAATACTGTACCCATATGAATTTTTTACCATTTTTTTGAGACAGATAAAGCTTTATTTTGGTGGTATTTATTCACCGCTGGGATTTTTATTTTTTTTACTATGTAAATGAAAACGTACAAACATTTTGTAAATAAATAATATTTCATCATAAATCTTGGCCAAAATGTATTCCGTTATTTTTTTAGTAAAAAAAAAAAAAAATCCAAATTAGTTTATAACTAAAAATTATAATTTTTAAACATTTTTTTTACATTTTTATTTTATTTTTTTTTTATATTATTTTTTTTTTTATTTATTTTTTTTACATACTGTCACCCTAGCAGTACATGGTGACACTGTACTACTTGTGGGGGTGATGAAGATTTTTTTTTTTTTTTTTTTTTACACTGATTGCTTTTACACCCATATAGGATGTAAAAGCAATCATTTCTCTTTCTCTCTGTCTGCATTCTTGCACTCATTGAGAAGTACTGAGTGAGCTGTGATTGGTCACACCTTGTCACATGTTACAAGACTGTTGTGAATAGCCTTGTACCATGTGACCTCTGTGATCATTCACAGATTTCACACATAGTAAGCAATGATGTCACAAGTGACATCTTTCTTACTACTTTGCATGTGATCACTGATTCGCCAATCAGAGATCACATGATCGGGACCTCGTACAGAGGTCCCGTCCGATGATCGGTGTTTCACTGTGTCCGGAGGATACAGCGGGCACCGGATCGCGGTGGTGCGCGCTCCCAGGGAGCGCGCACAGCTAGAAAAGGCGGGTGCCGTTTATGAACGGCAACCCGCCCCTGGACTGCCACCGCCCTGCCGTTTATAAACAGCAGGCGGACGGCAAGAGGTTAATCAGATGATACACGCAATTAAAAACATGGGACAAATACGTCCCTTGGTCCTCAAAGTGTTAAGGGTTTCAGAAGCCGGGAGGCGGGGTGGGGTTTTAGGGTCATGTTACCGCTGTGATTCACCATCACGGCGGTCACACGATCACGAAAGGTCCCGATCGAAAAGAGATCGGGACCTTTCCGTGAGTACCGGACATGTGTGCTGGGAGCACGCAGGGTGCACACTCTTAGCACATATGTTTTTCTTAATTGCACGCAAAAATGCGGCCGCTCGGCTTAAAGGCCCAGACGCTGGGAGGCCGCACATTTGCGTGCGGCTGGCACCAAGAGGTTGAGTAACTTTGAAAAGGTTCCTGCACTACTTTGATGTGACTTTCTTGTGACTTAGGGTTCATGTACACTGCAGCTGATAAACGGACGTTCAGGAGCTGTTCAGCTATTTTTTTCAGCAGCCCCTGAACTCTCCCTAATGTCTTCCTATGTGTCCATGTACACATCTTCATTTACAGGCAGTTGAGTTTACAGTCGTTTTTTCGAACGCACCAAACTTGCATTCAGGAGTAGATTTTACCGGCGTTTCAAACCTCAAACGCTTGTAAATGCGTGTAAACGCGGTTAACCGCATTTAGAAGCGTTTGCGTTTAGAAGCTCTTTTTAACTGTTCCATGTCCAGATGCTGCCCAGAGCCATTTTTCATCATCGGAAATGCATGCAAAGCGTTTTCCATGTATTGAGATGGACCCGGTACACCAGCGCAGTCAGTTCCAGTCGCGTGCAGGAAAAAATGGCAGAATGTGCCGCATTATTCTCATGATGGGATCCATAGTGAATACAACCAGAAAAGACAGGTCATCTCAACACATACTGCTCTCTCTGCTTTCTGCTCTCTCTATTTCTCTCAAAATGTCTGAAATAGTAAATTTTTTACTATTTTTCAGTGCATTCTGGGCATTTGGAAGGTCTCCTGAGGTTATCTTTTAACAACTCTTCTAAGCGCAAACGTGCATAAAACTGACATTTTTTTACCTACGATTTCCAGCAGTCAGTTTACATCATTCAGAAGAGTTTTCCAAACGCCCCGTGTACATGAACCCTTAAGTGTCAGAGAATGTAAAGTTGTATGAAAGTTGCACCTGAAAACTCAGGACTTTGGAGTCGCACTAGTGTGAATGGAACCTCAATTGAAATTGTCAGTTGTATTTTCTATTACTAATGCGTGTGCAGGGGCGGACTGACCATTGGGGAACTCAGGCACTGCCCGAGGGCCCGGGGTCAGTAGGGGGCCCCATGAGATGTCCCTGGTACCTTTCATAGGCTTTTTTGGGTGTGGTTTGAGTGTGGGCAAGGACACAGGGGCCCCATGATCCCCTATTGCCCGGGGGCCCCATGAGTTGTCAGTCTGCTCCTGTGCGTGTGTGTCCTCTTATTTTTTTATGTGATTTAAATTACCATTACATTTGCACTTGTTTTCACATTAATTTTATCCACTCCCATATAAACTTTTCATCAACAAGACTTCAGAGTTATTACCCTGAAAATGCTGACCCCCCACGCACGCCATGCATGCATTGCACACCGTTGTGGGTTGGTTTTGGAGTGGCCCCATTCACTTGAATGGGTCGCATTTGGGACCACCTGATGTTTAATTTTTGCCTTGGCTGTGGCAAGGGTATAGCCTTGAGCGGCAGCATTTCTGTGTTGGGGGGGAGGGTGTAATCTAAGCCACTGTTTTTACCACCCCCTGGCCACTCATGTGAACAAGCCCTTACTGTTTTCCCATTACTGATAACATACAACTCTGCAGTCTGTATTATGCAAATAATATATTAGTAATTAACATAGTTGTTTCAGCTCCATTGTTAAACCTGAACAGGACAATACTTTAATAAATGCCTTTATATCACTAATTGTAGTGTTTGTTATTAGTGGTGCCTATGGGAAATATATTTTTCACAAGGACCCGGTTGAAGTCAGACCAGTTATACTTATATCTTATAAAATACTTATTTCCTCCTGTGTCACCCGGTTTAAAATCTCTGATCCAGGGGCGGACAACTCATGGGGCCCCCGGGCAATAGGGGATCATGGGGCCCCTGTGTCCTTGCCCAAACTCAAAAAAGCCTATGAAAAAGGTACCAGGGGCATCTCATGGGGCCCCCTACTGACCCCGGGCCCTCGGGCAGTGCCCGAGTTTCCAAATGGTCAGTCCGCCCCTGCTCTGATCACTTCCTGATGGATATCAATGTATTGTAATATGGAAGAGCATACCATATTATGGACGTTCTATTTTACTTGGTGGCTGCTAATGGGCCATAATTACAGGTGACATGCACAAAACTCCATTACTCTGCAATATAATAGTTCTAATTAGGTTTCTTTTCTTTAAGGGTATGCCCCAGGCAAAGTATAAATGAAGCTTTACCCCGGGTTCACACTGATGCTGTGCGGAATTCGCAACGTTTTCAGTGTGAATTCCGTACCGCATCACAATCGCACCCCGTTCATGCGAACCGATGCGGGTGTGTATGTTAAGTTAACAACACCTTGACATTGGTCCGCAAAACGTGATGCGATGTGCAGAATAAGATTGCATAGGTGGGAATACCCATGCGATCTGATTCTAGTGCGGACCCAAAAAAGGGAACTGCACGTTTTTGGTGCGGGTGCGGTGCGAATAGAGCCATACAAAATGTACGGCTCAAATCGTACTGCATATAAATCACATGTGATTTGTACAGGAATGCAGTGCGGTTCTTGTGCGAATCACATGGGATTTACTGCACCGCTGTAGTGTGAACCCGGGCTGAAAGTAGAACTCCAGGAAAATGTTTTTTGTAATTTTAGGTTTGTAAAGAAAAGTTACCTGTGCTGATATGGAAGGTCAGGACCACTGCTTTGTACTCTACTTTATACCTCTTAATTTATACTTTTATGCATGCTAGTTAGTACAGCTCCCGCTATACTTCAGGCTGCCCCCTTCTCCTCTTGGCAATTCACAGAACGCCTTGTAGTCTTTGAATGGTTCACAGAATATAGAGTATTCTGTGAATGGCCATGTGAAGGGGGGGGGGCAGATAAATGACGCTAGTGCTTCTGTGTATTAGAACTACAGCTCTCATATCTGCAAGGGGCTGGAAGTATAGCAGAAGCTTTACTAACTGGCATGAATAAAAGTATAAATTGTACAGAGGTAGTATTCCTGACTTGCAAACACATCTACAAAGGTAACTTTTATTTACACCCCTCTTATTACAAGAAAAAACCTTTGCCTGGAATTTTGCTTTAAGGTGAACCAATGATTTGTCCAAAGGAAAGGTTCAGTTTAATTTCTGGTCCGTCAGGTGTCTCCTAAAGGGGAATATACAGTGTCTGTATACTGTGTATATATATATATATATATATATATATATATATATGCAGTTAAGTTCATATATATTTGGACACAGGCACAATTTTAGTTTTATTCAGGCTATAGTTATATAATGGATATGGGCTAAAAGTGCACACTCTCAGGTTTAATTTGAGGGTATGTAAATCCAAATTGGAGGAAGGGTTTAGGAATTACAGCTCTTAAGAGTAACCAAC